TGAAGTGACTTTTCCTTCAGTCCCTTATAAAGAATCCTCAAAGCTCTTACTCCTATAACTCTCTATTTTTGGTAACTATATACAAGCACACTGTCCTGCCTTACATGGCTTTGGTCCTATCATCTTCAGCTTTAACAGAGAGCAGATAGCAATGTAACTTGTATGCGCTCCCTCATGCACTTCAAGTTATAAATGCCCAACATCTCACCTTTTCCTTCAGTCCCTTATAAAGAATCCTCAAAGCTCTTACTCCTATAACTCTCTATTTTTGGTAACTATATACAAGCACACTGTCCTGCCTTACATGGCTTTGGTCCTATCATCTTCAGCTTTAACAGAGAGCAGATAGCAATGTAACTTGTATGCGCTCCCTCAGGTACTTCAAGTTATAAATGACCAACATCTCACCACTTCACTCCAGAGCTGAGGCTACAGAGCCACAGCCCATGGCCTATCAAATTATTAAGCAGTAATTGCTAATGAAATACCCAAGCAGTCCTTCAAAAATTGCAGGCCCTCCAGATTGCTTGCTTTTACTGACCTCGAGCAGATTCCAAATTCCTGTGCACATACTGCCAGAATTACTCAAATCACTGCACCCCAACCCAAAAGCCCATGTGAATGTAGTTTTGCACAGGGTGGCACAGGCACTGCCACACAGGCAGCAGCTTATCAGCAGGGATTCTTGGAGTTCAAGTGAAGCCCTCAGCTCAGGTGGGGCCCGCACCTGCCAACAGGCACTGCGGAGATAACGCGTACATCTCACGACACGTCTGAACAGCTTCTAGACCCTTTGCCTATTTTAATCTAGCCTTAAAGCCTAACTTTAGTTTACCTTCTCTCAACACTCGGGTATCTTTAACACTGATTGAATGCTGTAATTCTTCAGAATGACAGAAGATAAAGCAAAAATGGGTTCTCTGGAGAGTTCTCTTTCTCCACTGGCATACCAGGACTACCTCTTCCTGGCCTCTACTGCTGATGTATCCATGAAGTGTTTTCAAACCTGTAACATCCTTTGCTGATAACACCTATTTAAAGCTTGCATTTCCTCATTTAATCCTTGGTTGCTCAACAACCTTTCATATTTTCTCCTCACTTGTCCTGTTTCACAACACAACTTTTCCTTGGGTCACTGAAAAGCCTCAGGATTCACAGCCCTAACCTTCCTGCACTGAGATTGCACTGGTATCCTCAATACTCCTGTTAAAGAGCTGTCAGTTTCCCCTTTCGCTGTCAGATCACACCAATTCCCACAGTACATCAAACACCTTGCATTCCTCTAATCCATTTCCCAGTACTATCCCTCCTAATATCCTTTAAATTGAAAGTGGGGAGGTTTAGATTGGATATCAGAAAGAAATTCTTCACAGAGAGGGTGGGGAAGCACTGGAACAGGTTGCCCAGAGAAGCCGTGGATGCCCCATCTCTGGAAGCGTTCAAGGCCAGGCTGGATGAGGCTTTGAGCAACCTGCTCTAGTGGAAGGTGTCCCTGCCCATGGCAGGGGGGTTGGAATTACATGGTCTTTAAGGTCCCTTCCAACCCCAACCATTCTGATTCTACATTTAAAAAATTTGTCTTCACTGGATATTTTAAGCCCCAAGCTCTGCATCAGTGCTGCGGTCTTACCTAGCAAATTCCACACTTAAACTCATTTAACCAACGTAAAACCATGCGATAGCAACCAAAATGTTTTCTGTTAAGTCTAGTTAATACCTGGATATGGCAAACTTCGGCAATGCTCACTGAGTAAGTGTCTTCCATTGCCTCAGTTAAGGTTGTCCAGCATTTAAATCAACTTTTACTCATTTTCCTTCCTTACAGATCATACGTGTTAGAAAACACACAATCCTTAAAACTGGTTTACTCACACGTTGCAAGCATTCCTTATGCACTGAAATAGTAAGACAAAGAGGCTTTGGCCGTGTACCTAACATTCAGAACTGTTCTCTGATCAACCCTGACTCGGTAGCTTACTGCATGTCACAGAATTTTCTTTCTTTTCAGACAGAGTATGTAAATCTACCCAAAAAACCTTGTATGGAGGAAATAACTATGGTTGAAGAGATGACCTAACTTTCCAAAATGGGAACGCACTTGGGATTCCACAACATGAAAGAAAATCATGGATGGTCCCGACAAGGAGTACCTCAAAGCAGAGTATAAATTAATACAATCTCCTATAAAGCTATTTCTCACATAAAAATCCACCTAAAATGGATCAGGGGGAAAAAAAGGCTGAGAAAATTCAGTTAAAACGTCCCCTTTTCCCTGGAAGCTAAGCCTTCCTGCAAACACCCACTGCGAACACTTGCTTAATCCCTGCTGAGATTCGCTTCACAAGGCAAGACGGGGCCTCTCGCCCACAACGCAAGGAACTTGTTACTTCCCCCTCTTCACTGCCATGATGCTGCTTTTCTCTGAATATAAACAATTCCCTATGGGACTCCCAGGAAACAGCCATTAACTTTCCCAGGTTATCGTTTTTAGACGCCCCGAGTATTTGCTGAAGCAGAAACTAGTTATTTAGAGCACATTTACAATCGCCCTTCAACCTTGCAACCCGCGGTACCAAACCCCCACAGCATGTTCCGTACACTTCACGCCAGGCAGAAAATGGGAAACGGTGACACTTGCCAAAAGGGAACTCTTCACGCTGAGCTGCCAGTCAGACAGGCCACGTGTTCCCTACTTCCAGCGGGAACGCGAACCCCTGCAATATGAAAATGGGCTTGACGCAGACGGTACGTAAATCTTGGAACAATCCAGTGCAACAGTTGTGAGAAGTGGAATGAAATATTTAAAATCCCATTATTCAATCTTATTACAGGTCAATAAAGATTTCCTCACACCCATGACTATTTATTCCCTTCAGTGTGCAAGCTCCATTTCCAATCACTTTGATAAATATGAGCTCTACATGCCAGTATCTTATACAAATTCCGGATCTTTTCCTGTTAACAATATTTTTCAGAATAAATACATTTTAACAAGTCTTTCAATAAGGCAGAATACAAATGCTTTTTTTAAAAGTCTCATTTATTGTTTGCCTCTTATGTTCCCACACTGCATAATCATACATTGAAAATTGCCGCTGCATGACTAGAGGGAAGCCACATACTTAAAAACAAAAAACCACCAAGCAGCACATGCTGAACGCACAGCTTCGGTAAATTGCAGTTCCACTTGAAAAAAAAAAAAGAAAACCAAAACTTCCTACACTTGCATTGACCTATTTTCCTATTTCTTCTGGTTAAAAACTAGTTCTGTAGGGGACAGGGGTAGGGGGCATAGTGGTGGTAAAAAATGCCCTGCCCCTTTCAGGGGCTGCTCAAGTAATTGTCATGTTTGGTTCTTCCTCACACAGCTAGGGCCACCACACTCCCAGGGAAGTCACGTGAGGTATTTGTCATTCCATCTTTCAAGCCGCTGATGTAGAACACAAACCTAAGCAATGTATTTACAAACAAAAACTCTCCTCCTCATCCTCCAAAAATCAATTTAATTACAACTGAAAACAGCAGGTTTGATTGGCAAGGTGACATCAAATGACCTGCCAGGACCAGGAGAGCACTACCTCTACGGATCAGGACAAACCCCCTTGCAGCAGGTACATCAGGTTTGCTCCAAACCTGCACAGGGAGCAGCTGTACTTACATTCAGAGGCTGAAAAGCAGTGTTTCCGCAACAGCGAAGGGGGAAGGGGAAAGGTAAATTACGTTTGAGAGCAAGGCAACAATCAGCCAAAGCCCAGTCGTTCATTTCAATACTTCACCTTGAACAGCAACCTCAGAAGGCACACAAAAGAACAAGACAGCTCAGCCAGCCTCCCCTGACTCATACAACACACTTTCTTTCTCAAGATATGGGGAGAGTTCTTAAGAAGATGAAGACTTTGTTTTCCTTTACTGGTCCCCTACCTTGTCTTTGCGGACTAGAAAGTACAAAAGCAAGACTATGTACATAGGAAGAACGGCACAAAGGTATTACATTATCCCAAACAGCGTTATGAGAAGTGATTCGATCTGGTTTTGGTCTCCCGACAACCCCCAGAACAAGACATCAAGCAGTTAATATCGGGGGCTGACCTACCCTGACCTAGATTTTACAGCTACACAGAAGCAGACACATCCCCTCCCACGCACTAACTCTGACTATTAAGAATGAGCCTCGTTTCAGACCAAATTCACTTCCCCCAGAGGTACTGACCAGTGCTACAGATCAGGCCAAACACAGCATCTCAAACAGCACAACCAGCATCCTAAACAGCAGCAAAAACACAACACGTAGGTTACTGAGGAGCTGAAGGCATTTATGAGGTTCCTGGGTTTTTGCATGAACACCACGTTGCTTTCTATACTGATTAAAGAAGAAAAAACAGCTTCGTTTTAAGCTGTTTACCAAGGGCAAGAGTATTACTTTGACTGTCCTTGGGACTTTGGATTCTCCTAGCACCGCAACAGAAGCCCCTCCCCCGCCCCCATTTTAAATACTACGAAAAGTTGCAGATCAATTTCTAAGAATCATGCAAAAAGCCACTTGCAGCAGCCCATCACACAGGATCAGGCACAAAGAATGGGAGTGGTTCCTGTTAGTGTAACCCATGCTTCCCCCGCCCCCCCAAGCCCTCACATTCAGTGGTTTCTTAAACACGTTAGAGTGCAGGGTCAGTGTTATCAGACTGCCCATCACCTGAAACAAGTTGCCAAACAAAAGAGGCTTTCCCAAAGCTTTTATGTAGTAATTTCAACACAGAGAGTAAGTATGTTTATTGTTTTACAGCAGAATGCCCCAATTTAAGAACAAAATTGCTAGATGTTCAGCTGTGCAAAATGGTACATAGTGCTTCAGTACAAGTGGAAAAGAACATGATTTGTTAGCAAGTACTGTCAAATACAATTTTATGGTCCTAGAAGATAGGACTGGAAACCGGAGACTGATCCACAGGCAAACCATTTTCTGCCTAAATTGGACCCAGCCATTTTGGACCCAGAACCAACACCACTCAATTCCTCATCGCTGGGGGGTGGGGGGGATAGGAAAAAAAAAGAGATACCACCACTGAATTGCCAGATTCAGTGTATTCATGTGTGTTACTGAGAAATGGATCAGTCCTCTGTGTCAGTTTCTAGCCCCATCTACAAACATCATCTGGCTCCGATAAATAAGACTCACAGGAATTTCTTGACGGTCAATGGTCCATAATGATAGTTATTCTACATGATCTGCTCAACTTGATTTCCAATTCTAGTTAGGCTGCTTAAATGACTTTCTTGAACTCATCGTACAGCACAAGCACAAAAGCACCCCCCATGCCTCTGAGAACGTTAGACCATGCACCCTTGAAGAACGCCTTTCCTCCCTCATCCCTTGCAATCTTGCGCCAGCAGTCAATTGTTCCAGAGTACATGATATCAGCTGTAGAGAGAGAGTGAAGAGTCAGTTTTAACTCCTATAATTGCATTAAGATGTACTTGACTGCCCTGTTTCTCTTCTCTAGCTACTTTGAGATGTCCCAAACCACATTTTAAAGACTAACACAATACTACTTCAGGCAACAGAAAAGCTTCTTAGCTTCTAATAACTAGGCAGGCAGGTAAGTCACAAAATAAAAACATTAAGCCTTCTTTTTGGCAATTATACTGTCTCCTAATTGCCTTCATTTAATTTGTCATTGCAAACAGGCAGTCCATTTGCCCATTTCACATTCTATAAAAAAAAAAGTCCTCAGCATAATTCCTGACAAACACCACGTTATAACCCTACTGCATTTCCTCACACCATTTAAAGGTAATATATAACTTAAATCAGATTTATGGAACAAGGAGCCCTAAGTGCTGAGGGAGGACTATTAGGAAAAAGCAGTTCATCTCGTTAACGCTGCCTGAAGAACTGCACAGGTTACCAGCCTACCTCCTTTGCGTCCTGACTGCATCATCATTCTACGCCGCACTGTATCAAAAGGGTAGGAGACCACACCAGCCACAGCAGTCACTGTTTGGGCAATCATCCAACTGATAACAATGTGAGTATTTCTGGGATCTGGCAGCATGCCTGCAATAAAAAGAAGTAATTAGCTTTTTATCTTCCTCCTCCAGTTCACTCACTGCACAACAGCTACTTCATTAGACAAAGTATTATGAAACAATGTAAAGCCATATTTTGCCATTGCAGCAAGACATCCGATTAAATTTAAACACGGTGAAACAATATTAAAAAATAAAATTAAGGAAATTCGCAGCATTTTTCTTCCTCAGTAATCAGAACAGGTAATGTTTAGGCACCAGATTCTTTTCAAGCTGACTTAAGAGATCTAGCTATTCCCTACTCTATGTAGAAATAAGTATCACTAAAATAAGTCCCCGTGAATTGTATTAAACTAAAAGCTAACATCAACAATTTGCATGCCGAAATATGAGGCTTGACAAACAAGCGCTTCATAAAGGCACCGCTCAGTCCCAATTCTGATAAACACACCGGAATTGGTTTAATATACTACAGTAATGGACTGAACAAAACAGAACTTGTGATTATGTATCATGACCAACATGGTTTGCTGGCATTAGGAAAAACTCCTTCAAGGACAAGTACAAAACCAGGAGTATTTGAGAGCAGCCAGCTGCCATCAATCAACACATGCCAGAGGTTTGCCTTGAACACTGCAGTATCACCGACACCCCCTCCCCCTCCACACTGATGTAAGCTGTAGTTACTACAGACAACGAGTAACGTCCAAGAACAGACATAAGGAGACAATACAATTCTGAAAACAGGTTTATCCGATCCTCTCTGAAGTTTTACCTTTTGCTGTATCATAGATTCCGAAGTAGGCAGCTCTATAGATGATGATGCCTTGGACAGAGACATTGAACCCTTGATACAAGCCACGCAGACCATCAGACTTGGTAATTTTGACTAGACAGTCCCCTAGACCAGAGAATTCTCTGTCTGCACCAGCTTTTCCAACATCAGCAGCCAAACGGGTTCTTGCAAAATCCAAGGGGTAGACAAAGCAGAGGGAAGTGGCTCCAGCAGCACCACCAGAAGCCAGGTTACCAGCAAAATACCTCCAGAAT